CACTATTTTGTTTCCCACAAGATTATAAAACAACTTCAAGAAGTGGCTCCAGTTTGGAGTCTTTTTATCAGGTATAAGATTATAAAACAACTTCAAGAAGTGGCTTGCCAGCCCATTGCTTGTTTGGAGTCTTTTTATCAGGTATAGCAAAGAAAACCAAATTGCTTAGCAGCACAAAAGTAGATGGACAGGAAACAAATTGTGAAGGGAACTGCTCTGCTTTGAGCTCCCCTTCCTCAATCCTCTTGTGACCAATGTCCTGAGGGGTATGAGCATTAACAAAAGGACTAGGAAGGCTTTTTGGGCACCTCTGGACAACCAGGGAGCCCATGGCAAGGCAGGCACTGACACAGCTAGGCACTGTTCCCAGTTCATTTGAACAGTTCTGTCACCAGCACATTGCCAAGGGTCACAAGGCTTTGTAGAGCTGCTGCAAGACAACTCTGGGGCATCTGTCTGCCAGGTTATTGCAGGAGACCAACGTGGCTGAGAGGTGCTAAAGCTGTCTGAGAGCACGAGGGATGGAGCAGGAGCTGCACAGCTGCACTTTGGGGCTGTTTCCTGCTGCAGTTCACAACAAACCCACAAGTTTCTGTTACACATTTCTTACCGAAGCTCCTAATACATAACTAGTGCACTGTCTGAACAAATACAAGCTCACAAAGCAAAGGTAGAACTGGATTATCCCAAAGATAAAGGTTGAACCTTCTGCTTCCTTTGGCCTCTTTCCTTGTCCTTGTCCCTGTCCCCAGCACAGTGTGAGATCAGTTTGAATCCCACAGGCTCCAGCTCTGGGTCTGGTTCTGTCCCAGGCAGGGACTAACAAGGTGTCACTGTAAGATAAACTGCCCCTGGGAGTGCAGGGAAAGGAGAGGCACTTTCAAAGACCTTATGGAACAAGATGAGAATTCAAAGGAATCTAAAAAATGTTGGAAAGGCCACAGAGCTGGGAGGAGACAAAAGCAGAACAGCACACTCGAGATAAAACCAATTGTCCACCACAGGACACTGTGGGTCAGGGACAACTCGAGAAGAAAATGACCTGGAGGCAACAAAGTGGATGGAGCCAGGAGGAGCAGCACTGTGGGACACACACAGCCCTTATCCCTGGCTCGGGAATGCCCAGCTGGTGTGCAGTGTCCCGTTTGGACACAGCAGTTTGGGGATGAGGGAGACAAAGGGGAGATTGATGGCTCAGAGCAGCCTGTGCTGCCCCGGCCAGAGGGAGAACAGGGCTGGGGGTGGAAATTCAGGAATAAACTGAGGGATTCCACAAACTGACAGGGATCCCATAGCACCAGAGGATCCCAGGTGGGTCAGTGGCAAGGGGAGAAGGGCAGGGGGAGGGATGGCAGCACACCTTGCCGCTGAGGGGATTTACCTGCCGCACCTGGTGACACCCTCACTGCCCCACGATGTGTCCCATGTCCAGCTCTGGGGAGGGCTCTGGAGTGGGGTGATTTGGCAGAGGTCAGGGATGAGTCCATGTCCATGGTGAGGTTGGGGAGCTCTGGAGCCTCCTCCTCTCCCTGTGCTGTGCGTGAGGAGCTCCCGGTTCCCCCTCAGACCCTCACGGTGCCTCTGCCTGAGGGGCTGGGGCTGCTGCCCAGAGCACAGCCCTGAGCACCTCCTGCCCCATCTCCCAGCGCCAGAGACTCATCGGAGCTCTGCTGTCCTCTCTGGCAGTGCCCATGGACAGAGGGAGCACGAGGACAGGGCCGGGAGGCACCACAGGAGCTTCAGGAGGAGCTAACGCAGCTGTGACTGCACCAGGCACCTGTGCACACACCTGAGCACTGACCCAGCCCAGCCCTCAGCTCTGCAGAGCCACAGCGTCAGCCCAGACACACTGCACTCACACAGCGATCATCAGCCCAACTCCTGACCCTGCACATCCCCGACAGTCACACCATGACCCTCAGAGCATTGCCCAAACACTCCCTGAGCTCTGTCACCTTGGGGCTGTGCCACTGCCCTCAGAGCTGGTCAGTGCCCAAACACCTCTGGGGGAAGAACCTTGTCCTGATATCCAACCCAACCCTGTTCAGTGCCCAAACACCTCTGGGGAAAGAACCTGCTCCTAATATCCAACCTAACCCTGTTCAGAGCCCAAACACCTCTAAGGGAAGAACCTGCTCCTAATATCCAACCTAACCCTGTTCAGTGCTCAAACACCTCTGAGGGAAGAACCTGCTCCTAATATCCAACCCAACTCATGAGTTAACCTCAGCCAGCAGCCAAGAAGTTTCTCTTTATATCTGGTCCCATGTAATAGTTTTTCATAGGAAATTCACCCACTGTAAAGCACCTGCTCACTGGTTTTCTGGGGTTTAGCCCCATATTCCCTTCAAGAAGTAGAACACTCAGTTCTATGGGAATGGCTGATGCAGAATCAAGGAATTAGATTGGTTTGGGCAGGAAAGGACAGCAAAGATCATCCAGTTCCACCCCCTGCCATGGGCTGGGACACCTTCCCCTAGCTCAGGTTGCTCCAAGCGCGTTGCAATCTGGCCTGGAACATTCCCAGGGATGGAGAAACCACAGCTGCTCCATCCAACCTGTGCCAGAGCCTCAGCACCTCACAGGAATTTCTTCCCAATATCTAATCCTCTCCCTCTCCTCTGTCAGTTTGAAGCCACAAGCTCTGGGGTGTAATTAAGGAATTTAAGCAGGTTTCAATCCACACAGGAACACGTTGAGGATTCAGATCCTTCCTGTGAGGTTACAGCATAGTTTCAATTATTTGCCATCAGAACAAGTTGCAGATGGAGAAATGGATCCACTACCTCAAAGTTCTTAGCACTAAAGCTGCTAAAACAAACGCCTGGAAAGGGCACAGGTGCTTAAAGAACAAGTTTATTGACAATATCATCACAAATAAACAATCTAAAGAAAATTTCAGAAATCTCTAAACTTAGAAATCTTAAAATTTTCTCATTGGCAAAATATTTGGAAGAGAAAAAAAACAAAAAAAAAAAAGAAAAAGAAAGAAGTGTAAGATGTCACTAGAATCTTTAAAAAACTTTCCTAATTTCAACATTTTGGTTCAGTCCTTTAATTTGATAACACACATCCAAACCCTTCAGCACAACAAAAATGAGGCAAAGTACAGTTTTCCTTCTTTAAGGGGATCTCAATATGATCATGTGGGATTTTTTGGCAACATCTCCCTGAATCCTGTCTGCTCACACCTTGATACAACATCAGCAAGAAACAGCTTTATACATCTTCCAACTGAGCCAAATTAATGGTGGTCTTAATCCAAACCTAAATTTCCCCCCCCAAACAATACAAAGCAGCCCATGAAGTACAAGAAACTATCAGCATGCATTATTTTTTTTTTAGAGGTCATTTTTTTTCTGTCCTTCATCAACTTAAACCCCCCTCCCCAAAAACAGAAAAAAAAAGGGACAATGGGTGATTAAAAATTGTACTCAGATATTTCATAACATTAATATTTATTGCTTTATATGAATACTGTATTGAAAGCCCAAAGCATTCAGTTTACACACAGGAATTATACAATTAAGATACCGTTTCACAATGGCAGTGAGCACTCAGTACAACCTACAAAAAAATCTACTTTACAGAAATTTAAAAATCCTAAATATCAAAAAGGTACAGTTGAAGAAACAGGTATAAATTTGGCAGCCAGTAATTTGGGACTGGGAGGTTGCAGCTTGCATGTCTTTTTAAATATGGGAACTGGAAAAAAAAAATAAAAATCAGAGTTTGAAGCAGTAGGTTTGTGCTTTGAGCTGGTTTGGGAAACAAAAATATTTAACACTGGCTGTCCAAAAGTAGCATGTTCAAAAAGATTTAGTTCACTTGCAAAATGTGATACAAATCCTGGTGATTTCTATGCACCCTGTGGTTGTTTAGGGTAGGTGAGTGTCATGTTTTCCTCCTCCAACCCAGTGCTGTGACCACTGCAAACCTTCGAGCTAGTTCTGAGACTCCTCTACAATACTCACAACGCTCCAAGAAGCAATCAGCAAGGCAAGGGACTCATCTCTTCCAAGGGATTTGCTTCTCTCCAAACGTTTCTTCTACAAAAGTTTCAGCTAATGTTTTGATTACAGCGTTCTCAACAGAAAAGCACATTTGCTCACAAATAAATGAAATCCTTTCACTCAGGCACCTCAGGAGTATACAAAAGTGTTGTCATCCGAACAGTTCTCTTGGAATGTGTTTAACTCTTGGTGTTTTCAACAGTGTTAGTATTTCCAGGGTTTCACACGGGCCAGATTTCATTTGGTTTGGTTTGGTTTGATTCCAGAGGCAAAACAAAGTGCCTGGAGAGGTGAACTCAAGTCTTTACCTATAGGAAAAAAAAGAATTTTGCTGTATTTTTCTCTTCTACAGAAACAGACAAATCCACCCTTCCCCCTGGGCACAGTGAGGGCACACACAGGTGTGTGTGTGTGCCTGGAGATGTGTGTGTGAAATGTAACACATTTGAGACACACAACAGAAGGTTCCATAGAGTGTATTCCAATCCAAATCTGGAGCCCAGCCTGAAACCCCATATTTCACATGTCAAATGTTGAAACTGTAACCAAAATATGAAGGAACTGCTAGAGCTGTCAGAGAGGGGAAAAAAAAAGAAAGACAAGAAAAAAAAAAAAAAGAGAAAAAAGCTTTCTTGCTTACATACAACTAGGGTGTGGTAATCTCCAAAAAAGTTGTCAAAATTATAATTACCTTCCAGTTTAAAAACTTTTATTCTAAATAAAAAAAACTATACACAAACCACTGATTTGACCAAAGGAAAGGTCAGCGGTAAAGCAGGACCTGAAGGAGCTGGTTGGTAGTCACAGTTCTTAGCATGTACAACTCTTTCAAGGTTCAAATCCATGGAGAAATTTATTTTACAACCTGCTTCTTTTTTTTTTTCCTTTTTTTTCTGTAAAACTAAAGGTCCACTTTATTACATAAAATTATTTATACAGTGTAAAACTGGAGCCTTATGGAAAATACTGCAGCTAAGTTGGGGGTGGTTAGTCTTGCTCCATCGGTTCATCTGCAGCTTCTGTGGCTTCATCACTGTTTTCCATGGGGGTCTCTGAGGAACTTTCTGGAGTTTCACTAGCATAGGAGCCCAACTCTTCTGTTTCACTGCAGTCAGCTCCACTAGTGGCAGATGCACTGATTTCACTGTCAGCAGAGTGTAAATCCTTCCCTGCCTGGGACTGGTCGGACTCCTCCATGTGAGTGTTGTCCTCAGAGCTCTCCTCCTTCACACTTGAGGGCTCAGTGTCTTTCTCTTGATCCTTTCTGTCTGGGCCAACATTTCTGGGAGACATGAAGGACTCTAGAAACAGGAAAAAAACAGAATTAAGGCATTTTTAAACCTGCCTTCATCCTGCTGCTTTGCCCTCCCAGCTGTGCTGAGCAGTAATTCCACCATACAGCAAAGGACAGGAAAGACAATCCCAGATTTCATTAGATGTGTTAGACACCTTTGTCAGGACAGCCAAACTATCCCAATATACCACAAAATAAAGCCCAATTATTGTAATGAATAGTTTCACTTAAGCTTCAGTGCATAAAGACATGTCTAACAAGTGACTTTTTCTTGCTTCTCCACATCCCTCATTTGCCTTCAGAAAGCCTTTTGGGAATGGTGAAAACATCACTGCTGCAGTGTCCAACCATCATGGACTAGAGGAGCATTTTAGAAACCCATGAGCCACAAATAAATAAAGAGAACATTGGAGAACATGTAAAAATAGATCATAATACATAAATATGTATCAATATACAGTCTCTTAACTGCAGTTATTGTTTTTTCATTACTTAGAGTGAGGTAATTTTTCCAACAGGATGTGGAGAGATTGTTGCTGAGTCTCCTCAGTGAAGGAACATAAATTTATGTCCATATTTAATTAACTGACATTATTAATAAATAGTCAAACACAGGTATGACCTATGACCCTTCTGGACGCAGGAGAACACCTGCTGACACATTAAAGCAGAGATTCTTGGAATTCTTGGTGCACCGTGACCACCCTCATGGCCCAAGAAGATTTTAAGTACCATTTTTTGTCAGTTTTAAATGGAGATATAAGACAAAGAATGAAATAACAGAATTGTTAAATAAGGTGAAACTGAAGTATGAACAAACAGCTCATCTTTAAGCACAACTGGAGACATTCAACAATTCCAGCAGCAAAAAAAAATAAAATATCCCAACTCCTTGGAAAATGCCCAGAGCAAAGACAGTAAAACCTGGAATACCTTCTTCTTCCTCCTCCTCCTCCGTACAGTGCTGTCTGGCACAAGGAGCATCTTTTTCTTTATCCTGAGATGTAGAGGATGCTTCTGTCTCTTCTCCCATGCCTGAAGAGACTTCACTGGAGGCAGTTTGGTTAGGTGCATCTCTGGCTTCCCCTTCCTTGTCAAATTTAAGTCTTTTTACCTCATGTCCTTCTGCTTCTGCAGGATCATCCTCAGAGTGCTTATTTTTCACGGGGCTGCTCTGAGCACCTTCTGCTTCCGACGCTGGTGATTCACTGTCAACAACAGAAGCAGCTGTAGCTTTTATTGAAGAAAAACACTCTGTATCTTGTCACACTTTTAAAAAACCACCAGTAGCAGCTACTTCAATTTAAACACTCCATAACAGATAACAGAACTCACTTATTAAACAAGAAACCCTCAAAGCCATCACTCCTGATGCAAAGCTGCTCCAGGCATCCCTCAGATGTCCAGTCTCTTTTAAACTGCTTTTTCAAATGTAAGTATAAAAAATGAGAAGACTACAAACTCCAAGCACATTGCTCTTCACAAACCTGTGTTTCTTCTCCTCTGGCTGCTGCAAGCTTGGCTCTTTGTGTTCTGTGCTGTCTGGCAAACCGTTTGTTGTCATGGGAGCTGACAAGGAAACCTTCGTCCGACTAACAGGTCTGGGGGTTCCAGGGCCATTGACATTGGATCTTTGGAAATAACAATCAAAAGTTATCCCAGGTTTCAGTAAACTAGTTTGTTCCTGTTTGGCAGAAAGCAGCTATAACCCTGTTTTCAAAGATCAACTAAACAAAAGCAATAGGCCAGAGAGTCACACAATCTCCTGAGCTGGAAGGGACCCACAAGGATGATCAGTCCAACTCCTGACCCTGCACATCCCTGACAGTCACACCATGACCCTCAGAGCACTGGCCAAGCACTCCTGGAGCTCTGTCAGGTTTGGAGCTGTGACACTGTCCTGCAGAGCTGGTCAGTGCCCAAACACCTCTGGGGGAAGAACCTGCTCCTAATATCCAACCCAACCCTGCCCTGACACAGCCCCAGGCCATGGTGAGAGGCTTGGCTGTTTTACATGGAATAAGACATTCCTTGCCTACAATGTGCAAACTGGGGTAAAAACCTTTAATAGCCAAAAAGATTTCTCAACAATCAGGTTACAAAGAGACCCGAGCAATACCCAGTGTGTGTGATCATGCCTCCTCTCCCCCCCATTCCCCCAGTTCCCATGCCACACCTCATCTATTTGGGATCAGAACAGGGAATAGGGAGCTGAACCAGCTATTCCCTTGCTTTTATCCAGAAATCTCCCGAAACAAACCTTACCTGTCAGAGTACCCTGGTGAATTTCCTGGGAACATAACACCATTCATCCGATTTAGACTATTGGAATTATTTTTCCTAACAAAGAAAACAACAACAAAATGTTAGGAATAGAAGAACTTTCAACTCTTTCACACTTGTTTGCACAGAATTCCTCCCAAATTCAATTAGCTGTCAGTCCCCAAGGGGTTCTTACTTAGTCAT